AAATAAGTGTCAGTAATTTATTGGTTTTTATAAAACGACAAAAAGGTTCATTTGGAAATCGTGTCCATTTATTCTTATCAAAAGTTTTTTTCTTTAATATTGATAATCACGTTCCTATAGAATCTCATTTGTCATTCATTATTCTAAGTATGGATAGAATTCAAGTTGAATCTAAATGAATGAATGAATGAGGTTAGTTGGAGTTATTATTGAAATCGGAAATTCTCATTTACCTTGAAAATATATCAGTTATTTATATGATTAGAATTGTATACAGTAAATTACAGTTTCTTTGAAATGAATGTATGAAATGGTTCACTTTATATAGATAAACTGGTGTTAATTAAAAAGACAGCCAATAACTGTGGAACGATGAACAGTGAGGAAGATTTGTAACTCAAGTGGATGATTTTGATGAAGTTTTTGTACTCTGAGCTGGATAGTTTGTTCGTGGAGCTTTCATCATCAGTATATTGAAGAGAATGAGTTCAATGTTGATTCATGAAGTTATAAATGGAAATTGCTGAAACATGTCAATAACTATGATGAAAAAACTGTTCATTGTTTTTGATGGGATTTTATTCTTTGAGCTGGATAGTTTGTTCGTGGAGCTTTCACCATTCTTCTGAACGACATCATCAGCACAAACTTTAGGTAGAAGTGGTGTTTGAATTTTTCAACATGTGGTTCACAGCACGTTGGTTAACAAGAACCAATCAACATCGATGTCTACAGGATAAGCTGTGAACCACATGCTGTAAGATTTGAACACTTCAATTCTACTTAATGTTTCTGCTGATGATATCGTTCATAAGAACGATGAAATCTCAACGAACAAACTATCCAACTCAAAGAACAAAATTCCATCAAAAACAATGAACAGTTTTTTCATCATAGTTATTGACATATTTCAACAATTCCCGTTTCTAACTTCATGAATAGACATTGAACACATGCTCTTCAATATATTGATGATTGTCTTTGAAAATAATCTCCAAGATATTTACAAGGAAAAGATTTTCTGTTAAGAGTAATATAGTTTTACATTTATAATTGGAAGTATACTTTTAAACAATCATACAAAAAAAGTGTTTCGATGCTTCAAACCACTGTTTAGTTCCCGATGGAGTTTTGTTCTCTGAGCTGGATAGTTTGGTCATGGAGCTTTCATTGTTTTTCTAAACAACATCATCAGCACAAACTTTAGGTGCAAGTAAAGTGTTCAAACAGAACTCCATTAAAATCATCTACCTGGACTACAAATCTTCTCCATCATGTTTAATTCCTTTTTGATCATTCATTTTCTTTTTAATGAGAATACAATCTACTTTCTTGTAAAATACCTTCAAAATAAAACTGGTGAAAATACGTCAAACGTTTCTTGACAAATATTAATTGTTATGTTATTAAAATGTCAACTGATTGGAAAAAAACTTCAACAGGGTTTGGTATAATAATTTCCAATAGTTGAAATCATGAGTCATTTGAAGCTAGACCATCATGGTAAACCTGAAAGCATTTTTTTGTCCTATTGTGGGACTCAGCAGTGCACATTCATGATCCCACCTCACGAGATTCAGACCCAGGGTCTATCGGTCTCGCGTACAAACGCTTTACCTCCAAACCACTGAGCCACCCGGGATCCAACGATGTTAATGTCTAAATTCAACGAATTCACGAAATGTTCGTTGAAAAAAAAGAAAAATCAATCAAACCTTAAACATGTTATTAATTTTAAATGATCTACATCTTCGATATTTACATACAATCGTTTAGTGAATAGACATAATAACTATATGAACAATAATTTTGAGTAGAAATACCAGAATAATAATATTGCACTGATTAGTTACTAATTAATAGACATTTATAAAGATTGTTGAATTCCATTCCAATCACGAACTGATTAAATTTTGAAAACAATTTAAAATCTGGAAGCTTTGAATAACCGTTCCATTCTTGTATGGGACACCCTCAGAAATGCATATTTATGACTCCGCAACTGGGAATCGATCCCATACTTACAAATCAGCTCTGTGGTCTAGAGGTCAAGTGTTCACGCGCGGGAAATTAATTAATAAACTGTTTTATCCACTTTCGTCTTCGATTATCACTAAAATTCAGCGTAAATTTAATTTATGTTCTAGCTTCAATACACCATTAAATAATTCGAGTTATAGTATTATATGTATTGCGTATGATATTATATCAGAATGGGGTTTGTGGAGACTGTAGTCATTTGAATTGTTGAGTTCATGAATCGATTAAAGCCAGACCGCCTTGAAAAACCTGGAAGCACTAGACGGTCGTTTCATCCTAGTATGGGACTCCTCATCAGTGGATAATGGATGAAAGGTGTTTCTAAAAGTTATTAGATTGTGAATTCTTACTGAAATATATTAATTGATTCATGAAATGCATTATTACCACATAAACCTCATTGAAAGCTGAATCAGTATCTGATTTTACACTGTTCTTATGAGAAAACTAAGTAATTAAATAGTAAACAAAGACATATTTATAACCATATTCAAAAAAGATGTTGATCCAAACATAATGGCGCTTGAATAGGTTAGCAGTTATCTAGGTGTTTGAAGCTAAGGGTAATGGGCTAGAGTACTGGTGTGAATAATAGCACTAGGGTATAAGTACATCTCGGTTGATCAGTCCCAAATAGGTAGAATGAATGGTTCTAGACCCCATTGTGAACTAAAATTTATTTATTCTAAATAAAATGTAACATGATAGTTATATTAAGACTATGTCTTTTCCTTCATTTGGATTTTACGGTAAGATCGGAAAATCCATCTAATCCTAAATGTAAAAACATAAAAAGTAGATCAAAACTGTACAACTTACAAAATGTTTCACTGAACTTGCACAGTTAAAACTATAATAGACCAAATCGAAAAAGTTGTTTGACGAAACATAATTATTCGTTTGTTAAAGCGAAAAGATGGTCGCAACAATTAAAAACCGATCGCTTATCGAAAAAGTGATCAACCAGAATCATTCAATGATACGTTTGCTTAAATCAAATCCTTAACATAGTCAAATAACTCAAACCTCTTTTACTAACGGTAAAAAAAATGTGATTTAAATTTTGGACCGAATTTATTCAAGGAATTTCAAGTTATTCATTAATGAAATCTTGTATCACCAAAATAAAGATACCTAAAAGAAACAAAACCTAAATAGTTTAAATCACGAACTAATCATAACTAGATCGCCATTTAAAAATCAAGAGCACTGGGTTCAGGTTGTGGATACGCATTTATAAGAAGTTTCATATTCGAATGAAATTACTGTTTAGTAGTCTCAGGTTTTGAACGGTGACTCAATTAACATTAATTTATGATTTAATCGATTGATGTTAGCCGCCCCCTAACGGCGCTAAATTTCGTTAAACTAAAAAATTTAAATAGTTGTTTATTTCCTTATGAATTATTTATCTTATTTATTTAATCAGATAATCAAAGTGAGTAAATAGTAAACATTTTAATCAGTTAAAATAAATATTAAATTTAAAATGTTTATCAGTATGCATTGAATTTATGGTTGACTAATTATCAAAACAACAAATGCAGGAAAAGACGACCAATATAGTAACACCCTCAGTAACACTATCAGCAACAACCTATTGTGGGAGAGAACCTACCAGATCCCAGAGGAGGAATAAATCAGGAAGAGTCACTGGAAGTGTATAGAATGCACATTAAGGAAAACACCCAACTGCGTCACCAGACAATCCTTCACATGGAATCGTCAAGGTCAAAAGAGGAGAGGAAGACCAAAGACCACATTAAGCCATGAAATGGAAAAAGACATGAGAAAAATGAACAAGAATTGGATAGAACTGTAAAGGAAGGCTCATGACAGAGTGGGTTGGAGAATGCTGGTCAGCAGCCTATTCTCCGTTGGGAGTAACAGGCGTAAGTATGTACGTAAGACTTATAAAAACTGTTAAGATATTTGTTTTAAGTGAGTGATTGGAAAAGTAAATAAATGAATAGAGAATTATATCATTATAAAAATATTGATTTCGATGAAACTCTATCATATTTAAGAATAACCCATTTCATTAGTAATAGTTTCTAATTTAATGTCGTTAATTTAAAGAAATGATAGACTGGGATGTTTTTGAATTCAGCTGATGAGTTTTGAATAAGAGAAAATGCACTTCCTCGGTTTTATTATTACTAGTCACAATAAAAAAATATAATAATGATACACACTGAACACTATGGAACGATCAGTGAGGAATTTATTTCTATATTCGTGATTTTTTAACACTTTACTACGGGAAATCTTATCAGGAATCAAACTCATGATCTTTAAATTTTACGGTGAGTTGTTCTAGTTTTTTTTTAAGTTGTTGAGAAGATACGAAATGTCTTAAAACTGAAAATTTACAATTTTTACTCACAGTATAATCGTTATTTCTCCCTATTAAACTGATAAGATTCATCATTCAATGGTTGATATATATATATATATATATATATATATATATATATATATATATATATATATATATATATATATCTTATAGACATAAAGTAACCATTAATTGGTATATAATGTGAGCATTCAATCATCTAAATGCACTTCTCCAATTATAAGTTATCAGCAGTAGGTATTTATTTTTAATTGAGATAATGAATCGATCAATATTAGACGACCATTGAAAAAATAGAAGTACTGAAAGGTCGTTTCGTTCAAGTATGATACTCCATAACTATTCTACACTCTGGACTCGAACTCAGAACTTACTATCTCACTCACGAACTCTTAACCTCTATATCACTGATTTGGTATCCAGCAGTGTTAATCTCTAACTTCAACCAATCCACGATATTGCACGACTATTATTACCTCACATCCGACATAGATTAACTCCACTGGTCACGGCTTCTCATTAGTACTCCGGAAATTATCTCTTGAATCTAGTCACTAATGATCACATGATAATTAATCCCAAAATAACTAAGTAAACTTACATTTTCTTTCATTTGAAGTTATTTGTCCTGCTAATTTATCACCAAACAGATTTGTATAATCACATTCTGTATACGTATTATTATTATTATTATTCCCTAAGGAGTTATTTCTTGATGTAGACGATGATGATGATGATGAAATAATATCAAATTGTAATACAACTTCAATTTGATTTTCTTTTTGTTCATAATCAATAGATTGTAATCCTAAACATTTAAAATTTTGTGCATTAATTCTATGTTCAATAATATTATAAAATAAATGTGTAGTTAAATTAATTAATGCTGGATGAAATAAATTTATATTTGATTTTTGATCCATATGTGTTATTTGAATAAATTTCGTCATTAATTATATATACATCTTTAAGTAAACCATAATACCAATGATAACGATAATGATAATGATGATGATTATAGCATAGCAACTATGTATGAAAGTGTTTACATCTTAACTGTTGTTGTTTTTTAAAAGAAAAAAGAAGAAAAGAATAAAGAAAACATAACATTACCAGTATACGTGTGTATTTTATACATGATCTGCTAATGGCAAATAATGTCCCCCATGGTTATTCTGAATTAACCAATCAGAATTAAATCAATCGTATAACCAGTAACATTAATACGCTTTAGTAATCAAGAAATAAAATATACTATTTTTTTATTATCATATAATACAAAATTATCCATTCTTGTTTTGTTCTTTGTTTGTTGTTTTTATTAAAATATAAAATAATGACAGATTGTGGTGTTTGCTACTTATATTGACATAAGTAGTATATTATGTTAGTCAGGAACAGAAGGTTTGGAAGCAGAGAGACAAAAGAATCGAACAGTAAAGAATGGAAACAGAATGCGATTTTCGGAATGGGTTTTGTGGAGATTTTTAGAAATTTCACAAGTTGAAATCATGAGTCAATTGAAGATAGACCACCATGAAAAACCTGGATGCGCACTGATGAGGAGTCCCACAATAGGACGAAAGGGTCGTCCAGTGCTTCCAGGTTTTCTATGGTGGTTTAGCTTCAATTGACTCATGATTTCTACCTGTGAAATTTCTAAAAATCTCCACAAAACCCATTCTGATAATAATCAACTGCTCACTAGTGACTGACTTTAGGAGATACTCCTGGAGTTCTCTAGTGAGAAGCCGTTATCAGTGGAGTTCAACCAGGTCTATTGTGAGATAGGAATTCACTGAAGACAATCATGTACGGTGGTGCAACTTCGTGTATTAGTTGAAGTTAGACATTAACACCGTTAAATACCGGCTCAGTGGTCTAATGGTTAAGTGCTCGCGCTCAAAACTAGCAGGCCCTGGGTTCGAGTCCCGCGGGGTGCATGATAGCGGATGCACACTGCTGAGGAGTCCCACACTAGGATGCACTTTGTATGAAAATGCAAGAACAAGGAAATCTGAGTCATTTTGAGACAATTGATGGATATTTTGTAAATTAAGCACCTACTATATGATTGTTAGATTTTATTAACAATTCCTGTAATTTTCTGTCAAATACATTCGATTGTGTCCATTCTTGTTCCTGTTCACTACAAGATTATCAATGAAATGATATTTTGGTTTTTTTAGAAAAGCAATCAATTATGTAAACGGTTGAAGTATAATTGATGGTTGAGACTATCTGTGATAACTTTGAACACAGTAAACTATGCATAAATAAGTTGTAATTATTCGAAACTAGAGGAAGTATAATAAGAAAATGTAAATTTCTAACAGTTTATGATTTAATATGAACTGGTTTATCAACGACCAAACAATCACATTTATATTTTAACCAAAGAAGGTTTTTTGTGGATATTAAAATAATTTAATAGTTGAATTCCTGAGTCAATTGAAGTTAGACCACTATGGAAAACCTGGGAGCACTGAATGGCCGTTTCGTCGTATTGTGGGACTTCTCAGCAGTGAGCATCCACGATCACGCCTCGTGTGATTCGAACCGAGGACGTATCGATCTCACGCGCGTACCCTTAACCACTAGACCACTGAGGCTGCCGGAATCTAACGGTGTTAATATCTAACTTAGAAGAAGTAACTTATAAAATGATGGTTGGAGGTAGTCGACAAGAAACTCTGGACCTGGGTTTCATGCTACTTGGCACTCGTTAACAAGGGGTACCTGTAATCTTGAGGAAATTGTTTCTTCCTGACGGTGTTTAGAGTTTTTTGTCAACTAAATCCAATTACCATCTTATCTCAACATAGTGCGTGCGATATCGATTCACTTAGACCAGTGACCACGTTGCAATCTGGTATATCTGATACGATCTATATTAGGAAGGATCTGTTACATGATATTGATCAACACTCAGTGATCAATCAGTTGTAAAGAAGTGACTTTTATGAATTAAGTCGTGATGTGTCAAACGTTTAATTTTCTATTAATCAGAATATTACAAATATATGGATAAAAAATTACTTAATTTCCAGTTTATTTGACGTTGAGTAGTGATCTTAATATTATAAGGAACACAATTATTTGAGTAAAGTTTACACCGCTACTACCGATTGAATGGTTTAGTGAGGTCGTTGGATTGGTGTCGTTGTAGTGGCGTTGCCGCTCGACTGATGCTGAGAAGATGACCTAATTTGACTATTTAGAGGAAGTAAAAGTCGTAACAAGGTTTCCGTAGGTGAACCTGCGGAAGGATCATTAACATAACCCAAAAATATATAATAATGCATTCACCTGGCTTCGTGCTGGGCTGTATGTACCCTGGCTTGGTGGTTATTACCCTAGGCTCCAGTGGTTGAATATATTACATTGTAAATAGTTATCAGTCAAAAAGCCATTAGAAATTGTTAATGACCATATACCCAGTTCATAATAACTTAAAAAATAACCATTATTTTACGGTTACTATTGTATGCTGAATCCAACTTAAGTTATTCCAAAATCATCTCAAGAATGATACCTCTTAACCACTGTGATACAATTACATAATTCATACTCCCAAAACTATTCATGTATTGACATGTAAAACGGCTGGCGAATTCCTAACATTAGTGATAGCATGATATAAAATGAACGCGGATGAAGTCACAGCTAATTTATAATAGAACAGAAGAAATAGGCAATACCATAATATAAAATTCATTGACTGTTAACTATAACAATAGTATTATAAGCACAGATAAATGTTAGCAAGCAGTGGATTCCAGAAAGCGCGTTTCATTCTAGTTTGGACCCGTCAGCTGGATGTACCTGCATTTCAAAGTAGATGCTCACTCCAGGACTCAAACCTAGTACCGTTCGCTTTGAAAACGCCACCATATTATCTACTTAGCTACTGGGTTGGGCATATGGTTAGCGACCCCATCCAGTTGAAAACTAACTCGCCAAAAAAATCCTTATCAGAAAGGATAATTCAAACCATTTAAAATCAGCCCTGGAAGTTAGTAGGTCTATATTTATAAGAGTTATGACACCTCATAGTGAAAGCCGAGTTCCTTCGGATGTTACAAGGCTGATATCCCTTCTGACAACCAGAGCAACCATTAATTTAGGTACATGGAACACTCTTACAATGTGAGAGAATATTCAATTTGATATAAAGTTAAACTCATTTTGAATATTTCAATGATAATTTTAAATCACTTAATCTAAAGTGATTTAAAATTATTCTACTAGTTTCACTTATCGAAGGGATCAGCTTTTATCCTGGGAAAAAAAACTAAAAATATTAATTCACCGTAAAGGAATCAGTTTTCATCAAAAATTCTTTGAAAAATGAACCATGAATATTGTTCGTGATTTTGAATATGTTTAGTTATATTACACTTATATATATATTATATGTATAAGATAACTATCTATCAACTCAAATGAGAAATTCGATACGTTTCATACTATCACTAATACTACTGACTAAATTAATTTTCATATATAGAATTAATTTGAAGACGATAAAATATTATTCATCTTAATTGTATCTCGGAAACTGGGGGGAAGGAGGTTGGGGTGGGGGCGAGTGGAGAAAGAAGAAGTTTATTCACGCTTGGATACTTGTAAAGAACTTGAAATGCTACATCAAGATTATTTGAAATCAAGTAAGCGCAAAAATAATTCAATGAAGATTTTTTTTATTTTCTCTTAATTCAAATGAAAAATTTAACTGAAATATGACCTAGTTACAATATGAATATGTTTCAAGGAAAATATCCTATTTGTTTTGGAAATTTAATTGTTAGAATAAAATACTAAATTATTTACGTTGACATTGTATAATGAACCTGAAAACACTTTTATTGTTTTTATGTAATTTGTTCAATTGAGGTTATATTGGTTTCTGAAGGAAACATTCCTGTATATAACATTTGGAATATAATAGATGAAATGCCTAAGTTCTATGTCGTTTATTGACTGTTGTGCAGTTTATTACCTCGTTACTAAATGAGTGTAAACATAGGTTTGTTAGTACTGAATCTCGGTAAGTTTTTCAGCTATACACAAACGATGCTTTACAGAATGCATACAAAAGATTTACTATTCTATCGTGGTAGTGAAATTTTAGAGGGATTTTTTAAACTATTACAGGGTGGTGAACTGTAACATGACAATTTATTTACGGTTTGCCATTTATCTCAAATGTAACATGACAAAAAAAATTTTTGATAAAAGTAACCACGATGAATAATCAGTTAAATTCTTCAGAATAGATCCTTATAAATGTTTCCCACATAATATCATAATAATGATTGAGGTATCAATGACAGAGTATATTTGTAATACTCAAAATTTACAAAATATACACTCACAGAATATAAATATCTTGAAAGAGTCAAACTAATTTTGTTACTATGCTCTCATTTATTGTTTAAATTATAAAATTTACATAGGCCAGAATAATAGTCATTCTGTGGGAGAGAACAAACCAACTTCCAACTGAAGAAGAAATTAGGAAAAGACGATGGAAATGGATAGGACATACATTACGCAAATCGTCAAACTGCATCACGAGGCAAGCCCTAACTTGGAATCCTGAAAGGAAGCGAAAAAGAGAAAGGCCAAAGAACACATTGCGTCGGATAATACAGGCAGATATGAAAACGATGAATTACAACTGGACGGAGCTAGAAAGGATTGCCCAGGACAGGGTTGGATGGAGAATGCTGGTGAGTGGCCTCTGCTCCTTCACGAGGAGTAACAGGCGTAAGTAAGTAAGTAAGAATAATAGTCAAGGTAGAATACCTTGATTTTGTGGTTTCTACTCAGCCACTTACAATTATATTTGCATTGAAATATGACGTAATATTAAATAATGGATATTAGTTACTGAAAAATTGTAAAATCAAGGTTATGTGACAATGATCTATAAATAAATATGTGT